GTTACCGACATCTGGTGAAAATTTCATGTCATTAGCACCTCTAGTAATATATTTACTGAGAAAAATGTTGACGTGTTCAATACTTATTTTACCCGCTGTAGCCTATATATGTTTTGAATATTACACAGACGTTTCTTTGAGAGAGTTGAGACAGTGGCTAGTCTGAGCACGTCAGGTTTCTGCGATCTTAAAACAAGAAGTTTGTCACAATAAAAGCAAACCAAACCTCCGCCCCGCTGTCAATGTGAAGAATTTATCATGCTTCGATTTCTGCATCGAATTACAAATATTCATTTTTTATTGGTTAGCTTCAGCTTATTGCAAAATTGCAGAAGAGTGCAGTCGGCCCGATATGTTAATGTGACAAGCATTTCAAGCTTCACCAGATTGTCGTCGTCGCCCTGAGCAATATGGCTGACTTCTACAACCAAGAAATGTTGCATGATAGTGTGTCTAGTCAATATGCCTCATTGGTTTTCATGGCTATCACTTCTCCAGGAGGCGATGCTTTAGACTGGCAGAGCTGAAGCACAGCAGAGAGGGACAAAACGGGCTGCAAGCTACTTATTTGTTTTTATTTTGTCAAGGTTCAAAGGTTTAGTTTGTCATCTGTGATGAAACAATCTATTGCCAAATGAGTGCTTAGTTTTAAAGTTTTCTCACAAACAACAGACCAGCATATAAAAGTAGTTTATATTAAACCTATACACATTCACGTGACCCCATTTAAGAACTGAAAGGGTCCATTCCAGAAGAAATTTGCTTCTTTTGCAAAAAGTTGATGATTGATGCTGCTCTACACAATTCCATATCAGAAATTTCTTAGAGCCTACATCAAATTAATAATTTTAGCACTTAAATAACCTCTCAGCTTTCTATCAAACCGTCTTTTCATTGCGTTTCTGTGAAAGTCCCGACTAATCTGGTAAGMCATGAAAAGCTCTGAGCAGCGTCTCCATTTGCCTCCCTGGGTGGATTGCATCACTGTCAGGAGCTGCTGGTACAACATGGAATACGATCTGGACGCTCCTTCGATCAGAAGGCAAGAGCTGACCCACGACGACCTTCATCAGATCAGGGACGTGGGTCTGCAAATGTGATATAATCAGAGTTTTCATCAGCATCCTGACATCACATCTCTTATCAGTGTAGCTGTGCTCAGACGATCCTGATGATGGGCTTGTGCACTAGATTTGCTGATGCAGTAGTGGGAAGAGGAAGAGGAGGAGGAGGGGTGGCTGACCTTCCTTTGCTCTGCTGCTATAATGTCTGGTTCTTTGAACTGCCTCTGTGCCAAGTTTTCTTTCTCTCTTTCTCTCACGCCTTCTCTTTTCTCTTCGATTACAGGACTATTGACCCCTTTCACATCATCGAAGGCATCCACCTCAGTGAACTCCCTGACCGGAGAGAGGCTGGTTCTCCCCGCTGCTGAGAGGAAAGATAATAATCTGAGAACTGCTCATCTTCGAAAG